TTCTCATTTACTACGTCGTGGCACAGGGGGACAATGAAAATTTTTCCTTCAGGTGTGATTTACCTACCAGTTACAAGATACTGCCCTGGCAAGTGAAGGGGGAAAAGTTACAGTAACAACTGCTTTTGGAAAATTACTCCAAACATGGGAACCTTGGTGAAAGCTGCTATGTCTATAGCGAATTAAAATATTAATGGATTTGGCGGATAACGCTTATTTGAGATCATAATGCTTCCTTCACTTGCTAGATTTTAGGTAAGATACTTGTCATTTTAACAGCTTTGTACTCCTGTTAGAACACTCTACGCCTAACAACGGGTACTTTATTTGGTTTGGGTTGATTTATATTTATGTGATAAATTTCATCAAGACACAGAATAGACTTTATTGTAAATTTTGGGAAGACTAATTTCCAACACAAATTCATAAATTTCTAATGTTTTTAAAATTCAAAAGTAGAGAAATAGATTATTTTATCAGAAGGTTGAGCATGGGGCTGAGTATTCTCCATGCACATGCTGCAGCTATACAGTTGTAAAACTAAGAACATACTTGACTTCACAGGGATCCTGTCAATTTAAGAAAAAAAAATGTGCATCTGAAAATATTGCATGTGTTGTTGCTACAGAAGTAACTTGAGCTGTTACTGCTGAAATAATGCATTGTTTTTATTATTTAACAACATCTAGATTTAAACATAAATTCCAGAGCTGGAGGTATGCCATGTTAAATTCCCTGAAAAAATAGCACTTTTACTTTATATTCTTTAGCGTGCAACTTAAAATAAATTAAAAAATCTTGTTTTCTTTTTCCCCAGTGGTGTGGATATGACTGCAGTTCTCCTCAAACTTGGTTTCAGTGAATCATCATTGGAATCTAAAGTGGCTGCTGGTACAAGCACATTTGTGTTGGCATATGCTATTCACAAATTGTTTGCTCCAGTACGAATCACCATTACTGTAGTTTCTGTGCCATTTATTGTCCGATACTGCCGGAAGATTGGTTTCTTCAAACCTCCTGCCCCAAATCCATGATGATTTCTTACTGGTTTTTACTCTGTTTTTTAAATGCTGTATATCCATGTAGCTTTTCAGATTGCTAAATTGCTTTAAAGAGATTTACTTTGATTCCTGCTAATGCTGACCTCCTCTTGCATTTCTTACTTGTTCTTTCAGGTAAATACTACACTCTGAAAAGTGCTGTCCTTCTTTCCCTTTTGCCACCTCTTCTTTAGAAAAATCTGTTAAAATGGTATCTGGTTTCTACTGCAAGTGGTAATATAAATGCTTGACAATGAGCAGTCCCTTTAGAACACACAGTTCTGGGTCTTTATAATCTAGCTTTTTGGGCCTTAGTTTTTTTCTTGTGAAAATAGAGTGTCAGCATTACTTTATTACTGTGTAGTTGGGAAACAGAGTAAGATTCTCTTCCTAGTAGTCTGTGGAATAAACAATAACCTACTATATGAATAGTTCTTTTGGCAAGTGTATATATTGGAATCTAAGGTGGTAGGTGGGTGTTTCTTTTGTTATAAATGGCATATATTATGACCCCCATCTTGCAATGCAACACACATGCTGAGCTAACTAAAGTGGAAGTACCCGTATGCTTAATTATTGCACAGTGATAATTGTTTTAGCCAGAATAGGCAATGCACTGTTCTGAAACTACAGCTCCTTTGTGGTGCTTCCATGTTTCAAGATTTTATTGTTTGAAAATGTGCTTTATTTGTAGGCTAGGAACTGGCCTTACTAGAGTCCTTTCTTTTTAAAGTTTTGTTATGCCTATAGACTCAGAAGGAATCCTGAGTCTACTGAAATCAGTGTAACCAGAATTACCTCCTATGTGAACATATTCCAAAGATCATCAAGTCAGAGGCAAGGTATCTGTCAGATTTTAATACATTGAGATCTGGCTGTACTGGAGACACATTTTTATCTGAAAACTAACCCTAGCAGCTTTCTGCTCCTGTGGATGAAACTCAAGTCTGCACCCAAAGTCCAGATGTCACAATTCATGGCTTCTCAAGAGCAATTCCTGTGCTTTTGTCTGACAGACTGTTGAATGTACCAGTTAGAGGTACTTTTCATTTCTGTATTTGGACACTGTTCCTATTAGAATGTAGTTGCACATGCATATATTCACATACCACCTTTCAGTTAACCTAAAGACTAGATCCCAACTACCCAGTAGGTAGTCAGTGTAACATTCTGTGGTAAACCTGGGTTTCAGACTTAGGACTGTGCTTCTGTGAGATAGCTTGAGACAGCTCTATCAGTCTTTTGGACCTGTTCCTCCTTCCAGGTCTGCTCTTTTTACATTGTCTTTTTCTGTCTTTGTGCTTACACTTACCCCAAGGCAGCTCTGACACAGATGTGTTCATACAGGAATCTGATCAAAGTCAAATAGCAGGAAATTACCCTGGTGATCAGAGTAATTTTTTTTTTTTTCTGAAGCTTCATGAATTGAGAGGAAGGAATCATGGGGTTAGGATGAGAGTTGGCTGAGGAAGGGAAGGAGGAGCAAGTAATTTCTTTTTGTTTTGAGCAACCCATTAGCTCCACTCAGCTATAACATTAAATTGCACCCTAACTCCTTTCCTACTCAGAAAGTCCAACCCGTAGGCTGGTTGGATGCTCTGAGGATCTTTAGGCTCAAAAGTGAGCAAGCAGTTTGTGCTCAAGGAAAATGAGTCACAGCCGCATATATCCTTGTACCTCTGTGTTATTGTTACCCCTTGGTTAATCAGAGGTTTTTCCAACACAGGGAAAGCTGGAAAAGATGTAGTTGACTTCCTCTGCCCTGTGGAAGCAAGCTGATCGTAGTGAATGCCACCTGAAAACAAACCCCTTGACAACAGCTTGGTGCTGTTAGCCCAAAGGAGGGTTTAGAGTCTTAAGATATAAATAGTTGCAGCAGTAAGCAGGTACATATGCTAGAGCTTGATGTATAATACAAATATAGCCATATGTGGCATGTATGTAAAGATGCATTACATAGTTAAACGCTGCTCAAAATACCAGCCTTAGGAGTGGAACATACTGAGACTTGGCATTGCAGCGTGGCCGGCTTCCGTGGGAGCTGTAAACTGTCACTAACAGAGCTTGTCACACGCAGCCGCTTGCCTTGTGAAATGTGGAGCCAGTGCTCTGCTGCTTCATGTACCCATGTGTGCAGGGGGATTGGCTGTCAAGTTCATTTTGACAGGCTGCTTATTAAAAAAAAAAAAAACTGGATTTTTGCTGTTTCATGCCAGCTTTGCAGCACAGCTGTTGAAGCTGGTAGCTTGTCCAGGGTGCTGCTCTCCAAGCCAGCCCTGATTAGAGCATGAGTTTCAAGCCAGCACATCCCTCAAGGAAGCTCTGCCTTTACCCTTGACTAATCTGTGTGATTATTTTATTTGTTACGAGGATGGAAGGTTATTGCTGAGTGTTTGATAGGTAAAAACTGCCCTATCTACAGAGCAGTTGAAGGGTTACCATGGTATGACAACATGCAACCAACACTGCTATCTTTCTATGACCTAGTACATTCTAGAACAGCTAGTCTTCTACATTTCAAGTGGGCAGTCAGCCTTTCTTAAGAGTAAGTTGTGCTTGGGCTTTCCCCCCCCACCTTTCCTGTTCACAGAAGCCTTTGTGTGATTTTTTTTTCCTTCTACATGTCCTCTCTTTGGAGCAGTGTTCTATTACCAAGGATAACAAAATAATTCCAGAATAATCACAAGGCATCCTTGTTTTCTTCATTTAATCAGTCATTTTTGATAAGTATGTTTTGTCCTAAAGTTGATAGAAAAGGAATGTTCAAGCTTTCTCTTTAAAAGAAAAATCTTTCTGTAAAACAGGAATCATTTAAAGCAAACGCACCTAAAAGTTAGTACAAGTCACCAGCACTAACTAGAAATTTTCTTGCAGTGAAAAAACAGACCTTCACTTAAATTATGACCAGAATTCAGATTACTTAAGATAAATATGGTTGTATAGACTACTGGCAATTTGTTTAGATGAAGTTTTTCACAAAATATATTTTAAATTAATTTGAGAATATATTTTGAATTCTAGAACCCTTGCTTGTAAAAGGATTTTTTTTTTTAATGGTTTGTAAAATAGTGAAGATGACCTTAAAGTCTTATAATGAAAATACAATAAATTGCTTTCTCTTAGTTTGTTTGAAGTGTTTTACTGGAAAAATAGTTGGTTTGTATGTTTTCTTGGCAAGTAGCCTGACCCTTCTCCATTTTAGGGAATAATGTCTTACAACACCAGATGTTAACCTTGGTTCCTGTTACATATCCTGTTCAATAACAGTACTTTCCAGACCTTTCTCTTAGGAGTGCTTTAAATAACTGCATTTAAAAAAAAAAGGAAGAAGCAAACCTAGGTTTCAGTTGTAGAAAACGCACAAGGTAAGTAGCAACACATTTGGTACTTACCTTGTAATCCTGTGTTGTGACTGTAGAATAGTCAGTGATCGCATCTACTTTGTGGTACCAGCACTGTGAGCAAGAACTTTATACCAGCTTCCTTTTTGACAGAGGTGGGAAGTAGAATTATTTTGTGATCATAGACAAGGAGACAAGCTGTACTGATGGTAAAGACAAGTGCTTAAGAGACAGCCAGTGGAAGTGATAAATGCCATAAGGAGCCTTACCATGCTGGTGGCAGTATATAACAAGTCTTTATTTAAAAAAAGTTGAGTGCTCACATTTAAGACAGAGAGAAAAATAATGCACACATCATTTTTAGGACACTTGGAGAAATGCATTCACCTCGCTCAGTTTCAGATTACACCACAGTTACGATACCCTTAGCAGCCCAATAAGTTAAGAGGCAGGTATCTCCAGATATTGCACTGTTCAATAAGCTAGAACAACAACTTCCTCTTGTTGTTGGAACAATGAACCATTACCAGGACAGACCACATCATAAGAGCCTTGAACAGCTTAATACTTACATCAACAAACCTGGCCCACATGTAACTGGATTTCAAGTATATTAAGTATTCCACAGCCTCAGCTAAATGTCAAATAATTTTACATTGCAATTAGAGTTTTAATATGACGGCCAACGCAAAGATTTGCATTCCAATTGCCATTGGATTTCAAGACCTGCTTTTCCTATTGTAAGCATTACAGTAGTCACAGTACAAGACTCCTCTCATTGATCCCATGAGGTTACCCTGGCTAAGACTATGTTCTGGATGAGGCAGCAACATCACTCTTTCTGCTGTTGGGCATCTTTGTAGAGTTTGCTGTAATCCAGGGATGAAGTAGTACATCCTTCAGGGGCAGTCGATGGAATGGGTTATGCTTCAGAAGCTTTGAAATTAAATCCCTCGCGCCTTCTGTTACAAATGGAGGAAACTTGAATTCCACCTAAGGAAAAGGAATGACATTAAAGATATTGCCAAAGAACTTTTTGCATCAACCAAACTAGAGACGGCTCTACCTTCCAAGGCACATCTAGAAAGGAAAGCGTGTCAGCCTTGTGGGCTATGCACCTTATGCCTAGTGAGACAACATTAAGTAATTTCATCATGATCCTGAAGAAAACCAGGTTCTCACTGCTTGTAGGAGTTAAGCTAATGTATTTCTCAATGTACTTCAAACAAGATGAGTTTGCTGGAACCTTTCTAGGGTATGCAACAGTAAAAGTTAAGTTTATGTATTTTTACTAACACCTTGAATGTTAAATATTCATTTTATAAATTAGGAAAGATGAAGAAAAGATTAGTTGCTTTATGAAAAAGGTAGAAGTTCAAATGCAGGCAGAAACAGGGTGGAACCAAAGTAGTAAGGCAAGGTATCTTAGGGTCTCTTATAGTCATTTCAGACAGCTTTAGGGATCTAGTTTTATGCATATCATTGTCTTGCTACAGTTCTAGTTATAATACATGCCCTTCAAGATGACCATTTGTTAAGCTTCAATAAGACAACAGAACTGAAAAGGCAGCAGAATTCAGCTAGTCCAAATAAGTGTTGGCACATACCCTAGAAATAGCTCTGTAGGTTTCCTGGTATGTTTCTGCTTCAAAAGGTGGCTTCCCTACAAGGAATTCATAGCACAGAACTCCCAGGCTCCAAATATCCACCTTTTCATCATGTGTTCTTCCCTCAATCATTTCAGGAGGCAGGTAGTCAAGTGTCCCACAGAGAGTTGTTCTCCTGAAAAAAGTCTAAGTTAATTATCTACCGATTATGGCAACTATTAAGATCCATTTCAAGAGCAGATAGAAGCTAATGGTGGCAATCATCTGTACCTCAGTGCAGGCTACCCTGGATAGACTCAGCACCACCAGAATACCTATAAAGAAGTTCCAGCAGTAAGTTTTCTACTTTTGCTTTAAAGCATCTTGGTCCCTGCATTCAGTCTTATGCTTCCTTTTTTCATCCCACTCACTAGATCAAATATAGTCTTCCTTTGTTAGGTGCAGTTCAGACTAATTAAGGAAATGTCTTAAGTATATTGCTAGTGTGTGTTTGAACACAAGTGCTGGTCTGTCATCCTGGGGACCACTATAACCCCACAACAGTACACCAGCCTTCACTTGTTTCAGGTTCAGCAAGTTTTGAACTATACAAGTTGAAAAAGACAGGATAGCAACACTCCCTCTCTGCTACACCAGTTGACTATTACAACCTCTGCTGCAGTGGCCCAGTTCTTAAATTCCACCCCCCCCAATATTTTAGGAAGTTCACATTTACCTCTATTCCACAACTCTAAGTGTGACAAGAAAGCTAACATTTTCACTGCAGAAGTATTTCACTGCCTAAGGTATATATTGCATTCTCACCTAGAAGATGGAGCATGCACAGACCATCCAAAGTCAGCAATTTTTAACTCTCCATTTGAGCCAAGCAGCAAGTTTTCCGGCTTGATGTCTCGGTGAATCACACTCTTTGAATGACAGTATGATAGGGCATCTGCTAGTTCTGTGATGTACTGTATTTAGAAAGAGAACAAATCTTTAAAGTATAACATTGTCACTCTGGCTTATCTGGCTACAGTATAGCCTTTTCTAGGCATAATTAGTAGCTTAAGTTACAGCAATTATTCCTTAAGCCCTTGAAGTCTGGCAATACAGGCCCTGCTGGAAGTGACCAAGTACTTGCTGTATTAAGCGGTGCTGAATGTTGTTACATCAGTGCTGTGCAGTCATTTGTCTCCCCAACTTACTCCTTGTTACAAGTGCACAAGTGAACTGGCATCTAAGGAATCTCAGCTTCACACAACAGAATACAGAACTTTATCTGAAGAGCTAGCTTTATGCTATAGATATTCCAGATATAAAGACTAAGTAATGTATAAGCAGCTAGAACAACCTACAGTAGCAGTTCTTTGCTCATCAAACTTGGTAAGCTTCTGAAGTTCTTTGTAGACTTCTCCACGAGGTGCATACTCTAGAATAAGGTAGACTCTTGTAACATCATGGAAGTAGCCATATAGTCTGAGAATGTTGGGGTGCCTGCAAAAAGATTTAAATATTCTCCTGAACAAGGTATTTGTCCATATAACTTTAATAATTTACCTTTCCTGCCTCCACCCTTTCAAGGCAAGCATAGGAACTTCAGCACACAGCACACCCATTAAGAGAGCTTCATAGCAGGTAGATGGTATTTATCAAAGCAGAAGCTTGGACTCCCTACAAGCAAGCAGCTAGCCAAGAGTTTGGCTAATTCGTATCTTCTTGAACATGCCTTTCTACAGCAGCTGCAAGAGTAGATTACCATTGAAGGTGCCAATTCCTATGGGGTTTGGAATTTAAGTGTAAATACTTTTTGTGAAACAACTAATTTCTTCAGCAAGTTGGGCTTACTTTCCAGGAAACTAATACCAGAAGCAAGCTCAGACTCTTGAGAAATTGCAGTTACACATGTTAATCCAAGCAGCAAACAAGGTTGGGGGCTTTTTTTGTAATAGGAAGATTTGGTACCAAATGTTACTTCATTGCAAGCTAGACAAAGCTAAATCTTGGTGCAGAAAGTCAAGAATCCTAACTAGCAATTTCACATGTTTAAAAGAAACTTCTCTTTTCTTCAGCAGGGCATGTTATCATAAACAAGGTTACTCTGCTTTGTGTTCAAATAAACAAAGAATCACTAAACTTTACCTAAGATGAGACTGTATTTCAACTTCTCTTCGTAGTTGATGTTCTACGCCGGCTTCCTCGAGTTGTGTTTTAAAGAGCACTTTCAGTGCAAGGATAAATTTACTCTGCTTTTCACGTGCCAGGTATACATTTCCAAATTTTCCTTTCCCCAGAGGACGACCAATTTCAAAATCATCAAGAGACCATTGCCTTCTGCAGAGGAAAGATGGTTACAAAAGGTAGATAACTTGTGTGGGCTTTGACTCCTAGGTTTACAATTGAATATGTTCCTGTTCAATAAACACGTAATGATCTGAATAGATTTTAAGAGAACACCACCAAGATGATGAAATACACATTGAGACTTTTCAAAAGAAAATTCTGAAAGCTAGCCTCTTCCTTCCTAAAACTTACACACGGAGGTACAAACATCAACCACATTACTACAAAGTCAAAACTGTATACCAAGCCAGGCTTATTTCAGTACACCTAATACAGATATACTTATTAGTGCCTGTCAGAACCACACTGTTTAAGGCAGCCATGCTACAAATCTAACTTTATCCTTAGTTAGGCTCCAGCCTCTCACACATGAAGGAGGCTTTGTTTTCAAGTGTACATCTTGTGACTGGAGCAGTGGCTATCGGTGTTCTCTCATGGGAAGAGCTATTATTACTCATTCAGCCAGAAGTTCTCCTTAGATTACAGGAAGTCCTTGTTCCTGAGAATTATCAAGTCAAAGTAAACTTTCCTAGAGTTTCATATGTTGTCTCTGTGAGGTGTAGGGCCATTGGTCACCACAAGCAAGGGCCTCAAGTAGCCTTCAGCTTAGCTGCAACTTAGTTACAGCATGAAGTCCTAGAAGTTAAAGACAAGCCTAATCCAACAGGATTTAGTTAGCTACAACAATTTAGGCATGCAACTTACTTTTTGGTTTCTTCATTTTTCTTTTTAGCAGTCTCTTCATTTTTCTGTTTAGAGGTGCTTTCTGCTTCAGAATTTTTTGCTATGTATAGAGAAGTAGATCAACTTTATGAACCAGACCCATGAACACCATACAAAAATTCACATGGGAACAAACCTAACCTCTGTGCAGTATCTGCAACAGTTCTTAGAATACACTCAATGACATTTTAAAGAACCCAGTGTAGCTTACTATTGGCAAAGCAGCATAGCAGTTATCAGCGCTATCAAAATGTAATTTTAAAAGCTTTTTTCTTTAAGATTTCATTTCTTAAAAATGAAAAAAAAAAGCTTCCCCCCCCCAAAAAAAGTGTTATTGTGTATAAGATATTAACATGAATACTGAAAAAACTGTGATATACAGAGTGCCAATTACATTAATTCACAGCTGACTAGTGAGCATCTGGAAATTTTTCAACACCCATAGGGGCTCTAAGTAGGTAATCCTGGCAACAAAGATAGTGCAGTAACACCTAAGCTGCAGTATACGCTGCTGTTCTGTTTCTGGACACAACCAGGTACTTCTCTACAGGACTGTCCCACATCAGCTTTGGGTTTTCTGCACTGCACTCTTCACAGAATAGAAGCATCCCAAGAGTCACAACTATATAAATACGTGCACGTCATCTTCGGAATTACCAGGTACTGGAGCCTGTTGAGGTTTTTCATTGCTCTTGCTTGGAACCTGAGGCCTAGCAGTTGGTTGGACCGGAAACTTTGGTCGGGGTTGCTGTGTTGTCTGGTTATTAGACAGTTTTTGGTTTGACAGTACAGATTTTTGTGATTGTATGGGAACTCGCTGGGCAAAGTTTGAAGGACACAGAACACGTTGTGCTTGAACTCCACTGTTCAGAAACCGGCTCTGGGCAGAATGCTGAGACACAGGGACACGTTTCGGACCATCCCCAATGGGATTAGCAATCTTTAAAAAGAAAAATTATACATTAATTGTAGACTAGCATACTATAACCTTTATGGCCCCATTCAGTAGAGCAGGAAATACCACAAAGCACATTAACAAGAGATGTTATGGTGTTCTGATCTTATATTTTAAGAATGAAAACATTCTCAAATTTCTACATTGTAGAAGACTGCTAACTTTTTCTTGTCAACAGCATGCTTATTTATAGCTAGCAGAAGAATTTTTTCACACACATCTGAAAAATATCAGCCAAAGGCGGTAAGACAGTGGATCCTTACTAGAAAAACATGGACCACTTTGAGTAATTACTCCATTTAACACTCTTCATCTTGACATACCTTGCGCTGCAACAGCAGTTCAGCAGAACAAAGCAAGTTTATTTAGTACGGTTCAGCTGTCTGCTTTTAATCTTTTTCTTCTAGTCAGGGAAGGTAGTTTAGGCTTATATTTAAGAAATTCTTAGTTGGTTTAGGGTACTTTGCCTACAATTAAGTTCACATACTAATGATTAGCTTCTCACAATTTTTTGCCCTCTAATGATACCTATGCAACAGTTTGTACTTCTTTCTTCCTCTAAATATTATTTAGTTTTCTGGTTCAGTTCACTGAAAATAATGTACCAACAGCTTGATTAAAAAGAAGTTCTGCTTATGCTATTCTGAAACCTTACCAAGACCTCTTTGTTGTTAATTTAAAATAATACAAAAATGTCTGTGTTTCTACATACAAAAATACATAATCAGTGTGATCTTGAGTACTGCACAGGCATGAGAATAGTGCCATTAATGGGATGCTTGCTTTTGGAAGCCATATCTGGAATAAGCTGCCTACACATTTGCTCTCTCTTTAAATGATCTTAGATTATACTTAAAATATTAGGAGGATTTTCCAATTCAAGTATGAAATACCAATACTAGCAATTAAAAGAAGTAAGCCTTGGGCACTGTTCTCTCCAAGAGAAAGCTACTGAAAGATAAAGTCGGCAATTGTTTCCTGTACACAGAAAACATTGCTTCAAGACAGTTTTCCCCTTTTTTGTTACTCAGTACAGTTAACAGTAATTAGCGCAGTTAGTCTGAAGCCTGTCGCTATCGCGTGATCAGGAGAAATCCACCCACCAACCTAGTAAGCCACTTACTTTCGTAGCACGACCGGGGTACCCAGAATGGTTCTCTTTCATATTCTTGTCCATAGTGCCCGAGGAGAAGAGTCACATATAGCTCAGCCTGCGAATGAGACGTGGAGAATAGGGGTCACTTCCACAGAAAACGCTACGCCTAGGAGCTCTTCGTCAAAACGCATCCCCCTCCCCCCCCTTCGAACGCCCGGAGGCCCCGAGGCAGGGCCGGTCCGGGCCTACCGCCCCGCCTCACACT